CCAATTACCCATTATCGCGCTGCGTTTATCGTTTATTATGCTAAATTTACTGAATTTGCATAAACGACCGCGCTGCACGCGGAGCGCGTTAATTAACACGTATAGGTACTAATTGTACTGCGTTCCCACAAACGACGAAATTTCCTTCGCGAAGTAGGGGGAGTAAAAAAGCGCGGAAGCAGGCGAAATGGGAGAGGCAAAAAAGGCTTGGCCATGGACGAAAATGCGAAAAATTCATGAGCCAGGCCGAAGCGAATATTGCGTCAAAGCTGAAGGATGGAATTAATTGGCATAGGGGCGAGTTGAAAATTCCGAAAAGGAATTCAGCAGCCGCGAGAAGTGTTATTTAATTCTTAAACTTGGCTCGTTAGATAGAGAAGTGAACCAGTAGCGAGAAGCTAGGAGTGATTAAAGCGCGACTAGTGGTATCACGCACCGCATAATTTGCGCTTTTCGTGTCCCTAGGTATCATCGGGGATTCGACTCTAATTTGCAATGTCGCGAGGGATGTTTCACCGTTGTTCGGCTTAAATTTCGGTTAATACGGGGAACCCGTTATTAATGGCAGCGGCATGTGCATGCTAATGAACGATGTGCGCTAATTTTACTCGTTTCGATGGTTGCTACATTGCGAACATCCGAGTTGAAACAAATATCATGTATTACGGAATCAATACGTCAAATTTAAATCCACTTTGCCTTATATTAATTACGTTCTTTATTTCATTTTTCAATTCCCGTAACAATTCAATGCATTTCGTAAGTCGAATGGAATCTACAATATTAATAATTCCTGGATACATGTATTTCATGAATTATAATATTAATCACCGGAATTTCTGTTAAATTAAACTGACTACGTGCGGTTTTGATCGAACAATGCCGCGTAATAACTTTCCCGCCGCAAGAACTACTAACTTATACGAGGAATTCGTTCTTGTCGAGTGTCGCAGGACGCGTGGCCTCGGCGTATTGAACTAATGAATTTACGGTCTCCTTTCGCTGCTGCGACCGCGCGAACTTCCGACCGTAAAGTTTTCATCGCGATGTCAGAAGCCGCGCGGGATTAAAACTTATCGGAGGATTGTGACGCCACGGAGACAAAAATTTATTGGCAGCATATTCTCCAATAAGTGTACACGCGACATATTAAATTCTCGGAATATCCTCACGCGAATTCATTTTTCCCTTCTTTCCTGTTATGTTTGCACCTCTTTTTTTAACATTCCGACTGACCTCCATTTATAAAAAAAAAATGAGAGAAAGAGAATGGAATTTTCTACTCGTCGATACACGTAGCAAATTGGTAATCCATACGAGTTTAGGAAACAACTGAATTTATCAAATAACAGTTATTGGATTTATGTTACAATTGCAGGGCAAGTCTATTCCACAGAATCGCTGTTACATACAGCAGATTACACGATAGTCACTGAATAGAATTGTTATTCTCGGAAGATAGCTATTTTATCAGCGCGCTAATCCCATATGTCCATCATGATTTCTGTTTCCGGCACGGTGAAACGAGTAGTGTCGGCAATCGGTTTAACTAATCCTCAGCGCCGCGATCGATAGCCGAAGCGTTTCGAGAATTTTAAGCATTCGGCTGTTCTCGAAGAATGCAAGATCAAGTGCATTAAAATAGTATCAAACTATTTTTATCGTATTTAAAGTGTGCAAAACGACGTTAAAAATAATTTAATTACCCCGATTAAAACGCGAAACGAGTGAACAAAAATATCTGAGTATTTGTCACATTTAATAGGAACGAAGAATGGTATTTTTGCCATGTGTTCGATGACAAATGGAGTATCGGAAATTTTTGATTGATATCTTAGTCGTGAGACGCGACGTATAGGGAAAGGAAATGTGTACCTACGTTCTAGTGACGCGGCGATCAAAAATATCTTCCTCCAGAGGAAACGCTCATGTTAACACGGTTTTTAGTACTCGATTCGCAAAATATTTCCCGGCAGACACCTTCGAGATTGCATCGGGGACACGTATCGAGCACGCGTAAAGAGGCGGCGATCGAGATAAGAGAATTCGAAACTCGTCGCCACCAGCGAGAGAGAGGACGGAGAAATGTCCTTTATATCCTTTTCCCACTCGGTAGCAATTGCGGGAAAGCGTCTGTCGCGGGTGCTCGTTTACGTCGAAGTTAAACGCCACGTCAGTAGGGGAAAACGAGGGAGATAGAGGGAACGAGATGGGCTCTGACTTTGGTTCTAGTTGGAATCTCGGCGAACCGGTTGCCGTTGTTTGGACGGCTACCGGCGTTTCTCGCCGCGGCGATATTAAAATTTTTCACGTGTTCGACAGATATGGGAATAAGCGGGAACGGAAAACGCGGCAATTGCGATGAACACGGAGGCAAAACTCGATACCGAATTTAGATGTGAATTTGAAGTGAGCGAGCGTGTTGTACTCCCGTTTTGGGTGTCAAAATTGATCTACTCGTACTTACGAATGCTCGCTTGCTCGCCCGAGGAATTTCGTTCGTCCTAGACAAATTCGGGAAAGCCAATGGAATGCGACAGGAGCAGTTTCCCGAGTGAAGGAATAAGAAATGTGGACGGAGACAATGAGAACGGAGGCGAAAAGTGGAGCTACGTGGAGGAAGAAGAGCGCTAAAGAAATATATCTAAAGAGATGAGAATGCAAGAGGAAGGAAGGTGGAGTAGGGCACGGAGAGAAGGGGATAGCAACGAAAACTGGGGCAAACTCGAATAATCGTGAGGAGTTTGCGAACAGTCACTGAATAAAGGAGTAAAGCGAACGCGTGGAGAGATAAGGATGGCGGTAAGGGAAGAAGGGGAAAAAATATAAAAGAATGAACCGGGTAAAGACTGTACCGTTTTCATGCGAGGCAAAGATTCGTGACGATGGCTGGTGCAGTGGAAGAAAGGGATGGGAAATTGACAGGGAAGGCTGAGGGTATATCGAGGAAGGGACCGATCCGGGGGAGGGGTTCATTGTTTCAGGACGTGAATGCGTACAATCGAGTGAGCACACGTACACACGATCATAGGCGTCGATAGGCGCACGGATCGCTGTAGACTTTTACATATAGACACGTAGGTTCGATTTGCGAATCATTGTCGAGGCAGATTCGACCAACCTAGTAATTGTGTTCCAAATACAATAAAAAGAGCATTAAAATTCATGTTCCTTTCGTGTAGGTATCAATCGTCGAGCTAAGCTATTCTTAAATTATTCATTTATTCGTCGACTGCTTGCATCACCAAGGTACGACGATAACGAAACGTATTTAAAGATGATAAAAAATGTTCGTGGACTGATGATTTAAAGAAAACAGACTAAAGCATCGTCTAATTATCTAGAAAATGAAGTATACGCGGGGACTTCTCGCAGAGCCTGGAGCTATGCGGGCTAACGGGGTTACTCCCGTGAAGCTTTCTTGAATACACGTTCGCCATTTACGAACACGTGGAATATAGAGGCGAGGGAGAAGAAAGGAAATCTGTCTGGTCGTTAGCCGACAGACAAAACAATCCGAGCGTGGATGCTTTCCATTACCACGGGGAAAGAGGAAGGGCTTTACTGTGGTACAGAATCTACCATAGAAGCAGCGTTGTTTTTCCAAGCTAACCTACAGTGAGATGCGACATTAATTAGAGCTTACTTGGACCTCGATTTAATAATGAGTTTTCTGTCTCTCAGTAATACGTACCTCGCGCTATCGTAACTTTTCCGGATTGTTTCGTTGATTAGGAGTCTTAATTACATGAACGTTGAGAGTCTTTTAATTAAATGTATGAGAACTGATCAATAATTTCCGAAGATTGCGTTATTAAAGCAACGGCAACCAAGCACATGATTAAATTGGCTTCAAACCATGTGTAATACCTGTGTGGACATACTTACGTTGCACGTACTACTTGTCGTGTATCGCCTATAATATTGGAAATAGAAATTCAGTATACAACCGAAATATATAATAGATAATGTATATGTATGTCCCATCGGACATTTGATATCTAAATTTATAACAGGCCGAGTGCATAATTAAATTGTATATCTGACTAATTGTTCGAGCGTACAGATTGATTTGGCAGAAATTTCCATCAAATTATTGTTATATAGCGCATTTACTTTATGATATTTAATAAAAAATGAGGGCAAGGTAAGCGTTAGTAATTAAATAAGGAACGCGAACGGCGTTGGGTAACCTTTTTTAATTGCAATCCATCTTCCGGCGGACGTAAATTGAGCGAGTCACAGCTGGTGTCAGGAATATTAATACAGTGAAACTTCTGTCTAATGAAAATTTCAGAAATGTCTGGAATTTTTAAATTGGAAAATACTTATTTAGAAATTGTTTTTTAACTCTTCATTCGACGTTTCAATTTATCAAAGAGGTATTAATAGCAGAATAACACGAATTGTATTCCGTTTTACCGCTGGTTTTATCCCAGATTCCATTTGAAATACTCAATAAGTAATTCTTGATCCAAGATTAACCGCGAATTTCATTTGACTACCTGTGAAATATGCAATGTACACGTATCATTCTTCGTGTCTGTTTATACATGGGAATCTATATATCAGGCACATTCGTGGAAATTTGGCCAATCTACCGAGATTAATCCGAGCATGACTATATAGTTGAGTTGCTTTTCAAATGGCTGTTTCATTTACAGAGAACTAGCAACATAGAATTCTGTTAAATATATGTATCACAATTACTGATAAGTTACGAATCATTTTTATCTTAATTTCTCAACGGGTTGTTATATAGTTCAAATATAGAAACATATTTTCTTATCTTTACGTCATTTATATTCACCGAAAAAGCTTAATTCTGTCAAGTTTTATTCTATGGTAAAATAGCGAAAGGTGTTTCATGAAAATTGAAATGGTCTTTCATATGTTTGGGTACAAAATTTAGAAACCTGTGCATAGTTGGTAATAATTAATTACATAAATTGCATTTTGGCAATTTGTGTTTAATTAGACGATTTCTCTTTTTGTTTTAGATCTCCACCTTAGTGTCGCACAGAGAACGTCCGCTATGCTCGGACAGAAGTCTCCGTGTGATCGCCAGAGTCGGGCAAGCCGTCAATCTGGCAGTCGAGAGGTTCGTCACCGTCGGCGAAAAAATAGCAGATGACAATCCGGAGATCTCGGAGGACATGTACGAAGCGTGCAAGAGGGCACGGGACGCTGGTGAGTCATTGTCTCGTTCTAATTGCAAGTCACTGCCAAAAGGGCTTAATGGATTGAGAAACCCGCGTCCCATCTCGGTTATTGCTAACGCGCGTACACTCTCTCTGTGGGATCGTATTGAGCCAAGTAATAATTTCGCGTTGCCCTGAAACACTATCGACTGGCGAGACAGAATATGGATTCTTATATGAAATCTAAATGTGCAACAACTAAAGGAACCTTGCCAATGGATTTTATCGTTTCACTACCCACGACTGGACATGTTTCATAAAAAAAGATATCGCCAAAGAATGAGGCGGGAGAAACAGTTAATAACTAGTCGTTCAGGAATAGTCTTCAAAACTTGTTAGCCAAATAGAAGAATCCTAAAAAGCCGTGCAAAGATTCTAAAGCCGATGATATAAAGACGTTTGTCACGAGTTGTCGCTTCTAAAAGCTGAAAGGGTATCTCTCAGCAGCAGGCATTCATACTCGCGTTGACGTTCGTGCAACAACAGAGAGAGAGAGAGAGGAAGAGGAAGCGAGATGTAGTCATTGTACCTCCAACAAATTTTACTGCAGCTTGATTCCAGTTGTGCTTTGCTCTCTTGACAGTCAGGCGTTGGTATCAATACCCTGGTGCAGTTTCCCTTCACTGATTCAAATCTGTGGTGAAACATTACCTGCCTGCTTCTTCACATGTGGCGTCTAGCTACAAAATAACTTCATAACGTTTAGAACGTTCTATATTGTACAGCATGAATTTCTAAGGACTTTAATGTTGTCTGGTACTTTCGCGATTCCGTTTTAGTCGTGTTTCTGGAATCACGTTGATCATCCTCAAAGAGAAATATCGAATGAGAACTATAACTTACGAAAGATGCCTCCGGCGAAAAAGCTCTGAACATCGTTGAAAGCATATATCTAAATGCAGACTCTAGTATGCAACTTTTGAGGAACATGGTTCTATAAGAATAGGCGAACTGGGTGAAAAAGTCACAGCTCTGAGCAAAACACTTCGTATCTGTCCGTCATATTGGATACAGTATAAAGACTATTCGATTTCATGATATGCACGTGACGACTACGTGACAACTATGGATTTTGTAATTTGCGAGGAAATTATTTATTTAAAAAAAACAAAACAAGATTCACTCGATTAAATATGAGAATACGGTTCTAGTAGAGCGCATCGTCGATTTAAAAAATGCATACATTGAATTACGTTTGTACTAGGAACGCGACGCGAAGCTCGCGTTAAACATGGGAATATTTCACACTGCACGCGAGGGATGGAGAGAAAAGAGTGGGAAACATTTGTAATGTCAAGCGTTTCCCTGTGATACTTCGGACAGGCTCGTTAAATAATCGCGTTCTTACTTAGTTTTACCGTGAGTAATCGCGTTTAGCACGCCATGTACATGTAATTTCCGCGATAAATCAAGGAACAAACGCATTCCCGCGACCACAGAAGTACAGTGCCAAAAAGTGTCTCCGCGTAATGCGAGAAACGGGTAGCTCTACGCGATGACCCATATTCCTGAATCCTTGAAAGATTTTTCGGCATTCGAAGGAGCCTTGAGAAACGTCTTTCTCGACTGGAAAACAACTAACAAGACGTCACCGGGAACGTTTCCTTTCTCGTTAATCGTATTTTCTTCCGCTACATTAACCAGCTAGAATATTTTCACAGGAAGGAACAAGAGGACTTAGCTTTTAAATCACTTTCATTGAATAAATTATTCGAAAGGTGTCAATTTACTTGAACCTTAATTATGCGTCGCCTCTCTCGTAATTAGGACTAATGAAATATTAACAGCAGGCAAATTGAATTAACGTGCTAAATCAAGTTGTAATGTGTAACTCGCTTTTAGAATGTATCTCTATCTGAAATAGTAATGTTCCACTTGGGACGCATCGTTGTACTATCTAGTTTATGCAACAGTGCTTTTCCGCGAATGAAACCAAAGAGACTATCTAAAACGCGTATTAGCAATTTTATTCCATTATAGTATCTATGTTTAATTTTACGATTATTTAAAAAGTAATTTGTAATCTCTCTTTGAATTGAATTGTGGTATTACCCGATCGAAAAACGCCTATTTAATAAAGCCCGTGGCAATTAGACCATGATTAATTGCTAATTGGGACTCTAATGCGAACGTTGGCAAATCTGGACGGTGAGCGGATCAACCAGGAAATTGCGGCGATCTCGGTCCGCAAGAACGATTGCGCCGCGCCGCGCCGCGCTGAACAATAATTTACGATACACGGACTCGAAAATACACGATGAATGCGAACCGATCTCCTCCTACGGACACAAAACGTATTTACGACCGGCATCGCACGCTCTCCGTTCGAATAACTTTTATACGTGGCCAACTAAATTTCCTGTGCCCCAGATACTCCAAATTGGATACACGAACGAAATAATCGTCGATAAATTGTAGGGCAATACCACAGCCCTTGTTTAGATCGTTTGATGTATCAAACAACAAACGTGCCTTAACATCATAACGAAATATAGTTGAGTATTACGTATTATCATAATTATACGGCTTTAATATTTTTATGAAATTCTATACTCTACGTCTTTAGGTGTATTAAATTATTGTTTAATAGAGCAAATAAAAACAAATTTTCAAACCAACCGCGTAATCCACTCTGCTTATCTTAAACAAGAATTAACAGCACGTGAGGTAGCTTGAGTACACAGAGACCTCGATCCTCTTTGAAATCTCGGCGAAACAAATATTTGCTCGTCGCTGCGCGCTTGTTAACTATTAAGCTCGTTCGGCTCGGTCTGGAATTCAGATCTAACCGGAAAGAATGAGCAGATGGTATCAAGATACTCAAGTTACGCGGGGAAATGTGGCGCGAGGTCGTAAGTCGAGAGTCGAGGGATGGATAGCGTTGAAGACACAAAGGGTTGAGGCGCGTCAAAGGGGACGATACAATGAGACTGAAAAATTTGTAGATGAAGTGAAATTGAGAAGTTTAACATGATTCATCCAATAACGACAGTTCACTTTATCTCGCGAATCGATTAACGCACCGCGGGCTCAACGAGCACTCGACAAAGCAGTTTCTTCCGCGCTGACCGACCGTTGTATTCATATTGAACCACTCTCTTCCTTGAACTAAATTACATTGGTTAGAGAATCGGTGTTCCAAGACACCGCATCGGATCGGTTTAACGCGGGATCGTAGATTTTGCCATAGAGCGTTTCGAATGTTCCTTGGAGTGCGCTTTACGGACAAAGACGAGCCGGGAAAGGCAAAAGGCAAGTAGGTATAAGGCGAGAGCAACACGGGTCGAGAAAGTGGCGGCACGCCAAGCGATATATCCTCGTGAATAATGCGCATAAGTTTCGGAATAGAGCGAACTTGTAATCCATTCTTGGCATTAAAAACAAAGAAACCGGCGATCGTTGTTGGCTCCTTGACCAACCGCTTTGAATATCGTTCTTTATACAGATTCTTGAAATAATATTTCATACCCCTCTGACTCCTAATTCATTTGAATACGATAAAATGGACGATCTTATAAAATAAGTTCATTTTAATTATAAAAATGGAAACTGGACGGAAAAGATTTTTAAAATATTTGAACCAATCAATTGAACCAATAATTTGATTTAAAATGCTCGAAATGCTTGAATAATTTAATATATATTCTAAATAAGTGAATAATTCGAAATGGGTAGGGATGAGTCGAACATGTAATGTTAGAGATTCGGAAGCTCCAATTTCGGCCGGCTTTCGAGGGATCGCCCCGGCTGCTGTGTCGACGTCCACTAATAACTGCATCGATCAACGGCGAACGGTAACTTCTTCCACAGTCTGTGTACCCTTACGATAGACGGCACTCTGCTATTTTTATCCGAACTACCTTTTAAGATCGGGTCAAGTCAACGTGCAAAACATTTATTAACCCTCCCCCCAAACGTTTTCTATTGAAGAACCAGGCCGTGTGCATTGTTTTCGGCGCACTTTGTTATATCCGTACGCGAGAAGATGGAAACTTGCTTAATAAATATAATTTCAATATTTCCCTTCATAATTCATAGTCTGCGCGCAAATTACATTTGTTCGTACGCATGATTTTTCGCATGGTTTTAAATCTCGGCATATTGATTCGGCATATTGATTCGGCATATTGATTCGGCTAAATAAATATTTAGCGAAGTCAACAAATTTGATTCGAACATTAATGTTATCCTCAGTGATCTGTAAATCATCATTTATACAAGGCAGAAAATTTCTTATCGATTTTATTATCATGGGATATTCTATTCATTTCGTATGCGAGGTGAATCTTCGCGAACTTGAATCATTGCATATTGGAGGCACGTGTATGACGTAAACTCGATTGGCAGCCCGTTTCATTTCATATTGCAGCATACACACGTACGCGGTGTACGTATGTGACACACGTTCTCAAAGGATTAATCAGATAGCCGGAAGGGACGTTAACGTACTTCCATCGATCGAGAACGTCGATGTAGCTCCGAGCTAATATTCCACGTACACCCAATAGATCTGCGGCTGAATAAGCCGATACGTCAGCCAACGTGATTACTCCGAGAGTTCATTTTTTATGCATGTGCCCAGCGTTTCGTGTTCCGGTTAACACAGACGAGATAATGACTTACGGTATGTACGCGCGATTTATTCTTCCCTCTAATTATTGCGTCCAACTGGTGAGATTTATGAGCAGTTCCCTGTCTCATATTTTATCGTCAAACTAATTACAAAATTTGTTTTCAATTGATGACCATCCTCGCAGACTCAAAGCGAGTGAAAATATTTAAGAAAGTACAATTGTTTAAACGATCTTCGTTCAGGAAAATATGTACGAATGCGCAGTGCGTTTAGGAAAAGAGTTGTTTAATCTTGGTTTGACATAAAAACGACATAGTATATAATACACACGGAGTAGATCTGGATGAAGCACCGTTTTATTTTGGTTTCAACACCTGTCAACGCAGTGGTAATCTAGCTCGTCCGGCTAGACAGCT